GTGAATATAATCAATTCCTCAAACTAATAATTTTAGTATTTTTAAGTTAAATGTTTTTTAGGAACCGGCAAAGAAACAGGTATAGTCCATTATGATAAAATCAGCAACACATTTACTAATCGAATTTTTTATTTTATGAAACTATTCTAAATAAAAATCTACGTGTTTCAATGTTTTTTATTATATTCCTCCTATAAGTTATTTGAGGTGGTTAGTTTTCGTACGAATTTACATTATACAATAATACATAAATAATAATACGATGATAACATCAGAAAGATGTAATTATATATTTTAAGGTTTTACAATCTTCGTGGTGTAACATCAGGTGCACTGACCAGAGAAAACATAATACAATGAAATAAGTATACAGTCGAATTGTTGGGAGTAATGACTTCATCACCATTCTTACCCAAACAAATCTTTTTCACCTGTAAAATAAACAATACTATTAAACTATTTATAGCACGCTTGTAGCTAAGTTAAACAATTAGAAAACAAATATTATGTATAAGTATGTATATATAAGTACGTAAGACTTACTAAAATGTAAGAAAAAGTCCCAAAAAACTAAGAGAACGAATAAAACTTTGAGGAAGTCTAAAGCTACGATCTACGATCTAGAGCGTACTCCACAGCACTTTATGCAATTCGCGTTTATCAGACCAGTTGTATAATATGTGACTAGTTTAGGTTAGATGTATTTATACAGTAGTGTTTTTGCAGAATCATTTATAGGTTTTTAAGATTCTCAACGGTATCTACCCTATGCCTGGAGGTTAATTAGAACGTCCTGCATTCTCAAATCTGACAAAATCGGCCAGGAAAGAGTAAATAATCTCTGAGATCAGTGGATTTTATGTATTTCGTATTTAAAACTGCTAAACAACAGGGAGAAACAGCCCTTAGAAGCTAGTAAAGACTGATTATGTAGGTTGTCGCAGGAAATGCTGGTCATCAACCACAGTCCAAAAATTCTTCGTTTATAAGTTACGAGGGGTAAAGTTTACTTTTGATATTGTTCTTAATTAACATGTGAGAGATACCCCATCCAAATTCGGTTCACGTAATAAGCGTGTAAATCAACAACAATAATTTTCAAACATTTGTCTCTTTCTGTCAGTGGGGATAAGGGATAATTTTTTCAACAAAACCACTGAGTTTAATCTTGCTGCAGGTGAATACGGTACCAGGGCAGGAGGGACACACAATAAGAAGAAAGATGGGTAATCCAGGAAATTTTATCTATAGCCTTACAAAACTGAACATTGTTGTGGCATTGCTAGCTTGTTTAGTTGCTAGCAAGTCAAGAAGGACATTCGAAGCAGTTAACAGCAAATCTACTAAACCAATGTCGCATATAAATAAGGATAATGGAAGGAATGATAATAAGACATTGCAGACAGTAATATCTGAGAGAAATTGGCCCTGAGGACGACAGTCTACACTGAAAGAAATGGGCTTATTAAACTGTTTATCTAGAATAATGTGTATAGCGCATATTAAAACTTTTATAACCAATATACAACTTTTATTAAAAAAAGCAATCATCTCCATACACATTATTCAATCAGTTTAACTGGAAGGTGCTTAATACACCTTATGCATCTACGAAATAAAGGTTATAATGAATTACCTATACATTATTAGGTGTTATAGACTTTATATTCCAGTTGTATAGTAGGGAAGATTTGTTGTATAAAGACCAGTATCCGAATTTGTATATAACAATTGTATTAACAGAATTATTCGTTCTTATACTGAATATGTTTCCGTTTTTAACGTGTAAAACGCATCTTATAATGGTTAAGTGATCGTCACCTCTCGGTGCATAATCGGTTATGATCGTTGTTAAGTTATATTCATAGTCTTGTAATAATAATCATATGTCAGACCCGAGAGCGAAGTGCGCCGACTCAATAAGAAACCTGGCTATTCCAGCCGCTGATTTAGGGTTCGCCGCACGAGCTCATCCCTTCTAAGATTTCAGTAGCATGCTATGCATGAAGCAGAACGGTACTCAACTATCTTATACAGTCCACTTTTATTGTCCATACATGTTCAATCATTGTCAAAATAAACACACAAAACCACAACGTCTTTATTATCTTTACTCAAGAAGAGAAAATACAACAATCGTAAAATTTCCGACAGTCCGCTGTGCATCGACTTACACACGTCTAGTTTGATGAAAATGGACAGTATATGCACATGTTTTGTGGGATACATGATCATATCGCGTTGTGTGAAATGGAAAATTATTATGTAAGTATCTAACTGTTTTATGGCTTGTAATTGTTTTGTTTTTTCAAATGTAAATCTTGTCTAAATCTTAAAAATTATTATTTTGTAGGTCCTATTAGAAATCGCTGATGTTAAGTTTTACATAAGATGGAGGAACAGAAGGTTAACGGTGACAAAGAAGAGCATGGGTATAAAGTCAATCAACCAGAGGAAATAAAATTATATGGAAAGAAGCTCAACCTTTCTGGGGATGCTTCATTCTTAAGGTGGAAGAGTTATAGTGCAAATTCTCATGTAATACAAGAAAATACGGGTGCATCGTTGCTAAGAAAATAAACTGGACAGTTTTGGGAGCGATTTGTCATCATTTTTAATGCTTAAAAGTATGTTTTATGTATGTTTACATTAGAACCTTAGCTTGTAATTACAGTTATCCAATAAAATTTTTGAAAACTTAATGTCATATGTGTTTAACTCATACAGAGTATACAACAGTTTAATACATTTATTATTATAAAACTTATAACCAGTACTAGATGTTCTAATAACGATATGGAACACTTTAATAACAGTTATTGCTATTATTTCGTAAAGGGTATAAAAAACGTTGTATACTAGTTATACAATAATTTAATAAAGAATAAGGTTTATAGTCACTATACAACTACTCTAGCAATACGCGTTTTATATCCAATATTCACCTGTTTAACTGTCACATATAGTATACAATGGTCTTATAATGTATATAGAATTATAATAAAGAATAAAACGCATTTCTTTCAGTGTATGTACGTTCAACCAGGAGGAAGAGAAGGCCACAGCCGATATACTATGCGTGGTTAAGAGCCTAATAGGGATCTACTATTCAGAAAGGAATAACTGGAAGCTACGTGAAGGACCCTCTGTCAAAGCAGTGGAGCCTAATTATAAGGCTAAACTAGATAAAAAAACCGTTCATGGAGGTCTACAATGTGATTAGTTGCAGTAGAAAAGAATGATTAATCCATTCCGTATATTTACGGTCGAAAAAGGGTAAAACCTCGTCATAGAGACAGGAATTTGCCATAAGAAGAGTGCTTGAAGGATTGGAACCACCAGAACTACAAAGTAAACAACTACGGAAGTTGATGGCCGTCATAGGTGTGGTTCTTATTCTTATTCTTATTACTACCAAACAACCAGGTCTTTCTATCTTGCCTAGTTCCAGTAACGATCCGCTGTTGTATCTTATTCCATCATACTAATGGTGGAATAAAAGGAGCAATAAGGACCACATTCACTTTATAGTTGGAGGTGTCAGAATGAACTTTTCCAGGATCCTACATGCTCCCAAATAGACTAGGGACATTATATAATTAAAAATCTAATTGAGAGTAACATAATATTTAAGAAAACGGCCCGTGCAATTTAAAAATTCAATTATTAAAAAAAGTTGTTTCTCTTTTTATGTTATATGCATGAAAATAATGGGACAACCTGTAGGAATAAGCGGGTTAATATTCTCACTGATCGTTATGCGTTCTTGAACGCATTTCAAATCCGAAGTCATGTCCAAACTTGTATAGAAATGTTTATTCTAATATGGGTGCTCGGGCAACAAAAAAACTGACAAATTAGTTAACAAAGGTTTCTTCAATTTCTTGTACTGGGAGTAGTAGACGATGTGTCAGCAACCAGCATAAGGGCACCAACAAGGTAATCTCTTCATCAAACAACCATAAAGAAAGAGGACTAAACAACAACTGCTGCTATTACATAATTAAGTACAAACTGGTCTACATGACGGATAGCTTCAATGCCAACTTTACATGAGACAAAAGAATTTTTTGAGGAATGAAATAAACAGCAGAAGACAGGTTCCATAGCGACAAACATAAAAGTGCATGTTGATTTTTATTTATTTATAGTATTATATATGATTTAAATTGGGTACATTGTAAATAATTGATATTACTAAACACATCAAAAGCATAGAGTGAAGTTATTGAGTAGACGTTTATTTAATATTGAGAATTTTAACAATTTTACTCATTTATTGGCGACATAAATATATTCAAAAATAGTTAATGTTGAATTTATAGCAAGTAGATATAAAGATATAGTAATTGTTAGTGACTTTAACATTTACATGGATAGCAACGCAGAACATGACTTAACATTTGTACAATGTACGGTGTGAAGCCACATACCAACTAGAACTACACCAGTGATAAGTGCTTGTCATGATAATATTCTAACGAATATACATCAGAACTGTCTGACTGTTGGTGAATGTGATTCTCTGATTCATTTCTCTTTAATAATCTTGGAGTATACGTATGTGATAACAGAGTATGATAGACCCCTGTATTTTGATCCGCTAAAGACGATGGGGCCATCATAAAATCAGTGGAAATATTGATTTTTTTGTTAAAATAAATTTTTGAAATTAAAATTAGTTAAAAATGGGTGTAACCAGTGGCGGCGTTTGACTTCCGTACCAGAGAGAACGGAAAAATTTAGGTGCAAGGTATTGAAAAAAATATATATTTACCTATAATTGGGCAGTTTTATTTTAAGTACTATTGAAATATAGGGAAAATGACAATTCAACATCACTATAAAAGTGAAAGTCCATTCTTCTGCTTTTGTCCCAAATAAACTTTTCAATTTCCCATTAAAGTTTGATATTTGTCGCATCATGGATTTTTCAATAGATAGCATTACTGTTAGTCTGTCTTTACAATCAATTTAAACTTTTACAATCTTTTCAGATTTTATAGTCTTCGTGGTGTAACATCAGGTGCACTGACGACAATTGCACATTCACAGCGAAAAAAGTCTATAGTCGAATTATTAGGAGTAATGAGTTTTTGACCATCCTCATCCATACAAATCTTTCCTCCCTGTAAAATGATCAATACTTATTAAAATTTACGTCTGTAGTTACGTTCAACAATTTAAATAAAATTTTACAATAGAAATACGTAGCAGATGACCTTGCTAAAATAAAAGTTTGAAGGAACTGAATGAACAGATGATGATAGGTACAATAAAAATTTGAAGAAATCTACGATCTATCAAAAGAGCTCTTCACAACAGTCTGAGCAATATGTACTTTGGATATATCATCCCAGTTAAGTAATTTACAGCGATCAGTAATATTTCATAAGAAATCCGACATTTTTATTTACAGGCTTACAAGATTATCAGGGACACGTACCCAAAGGCTGGAGACTAATCATAACTTTTCAATTCTGACAAAATCGAACAGGAAAAAGTAAAGGATCTCTGAGACCAATAGGTTTTATATCTTTCATGCTTAACACTGCTATATAACCGAGAGAAAAAGCCCTTGGAATTTAGAGAACAGTAGTGATAAACATAATCCAAAAATGGATATTTTCAGGAAAGCCACTGAAAATTTTAATTATTTGAAGGTTCTACTGAAAAAATGTTTTTTAATTTCTTCTAAATTCGCTACATATTGAAGTAAAGAGAGAAGAAACAAGAAGTTTAAGATTTGAGATTAAAAAATACTTGTCTTCTATGTACATACGTAATGTTTTTCTCTGGCATTCTAAGGCCGACTGCAGATAATTGCCTGCTGTAAACATCACCTTCAAAAAATTTGGTAACCAGTATATAAAATGATCGAAAATACATATTCTATAATTTAACATAATTTACTTTAACAGCGAATACATCGAAATGAATAACAGCGCATAATAATTCATTTCCCAATATTTTTGTTTACAAACCTTTTCAGTGTCGTGAGACTCGGATATTGAATTGAAGACCTCGAAGCAACCAGGTTGTTCTGGTCGTTTTCCTGGACATTGCAGCACTACAGTTTCATTACCAATTAATTCTAATCCTAAACAATCGTTATAATTATTCAGTATACGTGTATGATAAAGAGAATATGTCCCTGTCCAGTCGATTACTAGATATTCACTGCCACTAGAAAAGTAGTTTCCATACCTGAAGAGCTCCTTATCATCACCATAAAGGCAAATTCTATCTAATAATGACACGGACGATTCTTCCCGGATTTCTGGAGATCTATCTAAAAAAAATAGCTGATAATAGTAAATTTATGGTTCGCATAAATACAGTCTTTGGCATTTACAAGGAATACAATTAAAAACAGACATTCTTGATCGTAAATGAAGTACATCCACATAATTATTATACCGCAGTTACATTCTATAGCATTTTAAAAGAGGAAATCCAAAAAAAATGACGGTCATATTCAAGCCACTGTAAATAATCACGCACTTTAAGAGAAGAAGCCAATAGCTATTTATTTAGTTTATTATAAAGTGTTTTAAGTAGCATTTTATCCACACAAGAATGTATAAACGCCAGAACGTAGTAGTGGATAAAAGGCAATTAAAACCTGAATACAATACAACGTTTTAACTATAATCACATCACAATCATATTTGTGGAGTCAGAATTATTGGAATTTAATAAAAAAAATTCCCCGGCTTTGTTTTTTTTTCTTGTTCTTCATTCAACGTTTTTGGTTTTTTTTTTCCTTCTTGTTTGCATTGTTCGTTTTTTTTTTTTTTTTTTTATTCATTGTTTTTTTTTGATTTTGTTAAAATTGCAGGAGGTTACCTTTTTTCCGTTGGTTGTTTTTGAGGCGGTTCAGGAACCATTTTTTCTTTTTTTGCCGGGGAATTCCGGGGATTTTTAGGAAAAGTTTTTGGCCAAGTGCCCCGCCGGTTTCTTTTTGGAAATTGGTTTTCGGGGGTTGTTTTTGAACTTTTGGTTTTGATTGTTTTTTTAGGGTTGGTTAAAAGTTATCATAGGCACTAAGTTGAGAAAATTACATTTTCCGAGATATAGTCGAAAGATAGGAGTTATAGCACCGCTAGGTGTAAATTAAAGAAGCCTCTTAGCTTAATTAATTCTTTATTAATATTGTACTAGACACCTATCAAACATCGTTGAATAATACATATGTTTTTGACTTTACTATACATCGTAACATATTGAATCATTTTCAAATAAGAAATAATATTGTCTGAAATAGAAGGTATAACATAAATTATAATTAAGTAATTCAATTATCAATTCATTATTTGCATTCATTGTAGTATTTAATAGTGAATCATCTGGGTAGTTCACATGTGGTTGATGGCGGGCATAGCCTAGAAACCAAAAAACCCTGGCCACATGAGCACAAGTTCCTACTACTTTCGCCCCTGAATAACACGTGCAATAATATGCTAGGATTGGACCATTATCTTGATCACCACCATAATTATTATCTAAGTCTTCATCCACGTTGACATAACTAATGAATATTTGATGTCTTGCAGCATATCGGAATCTTGAGAAAGTTCGTACTTTTAGAAGTCCTGGTTCATCTATATGTTCATTCAATTGAAATTCATCATCATTTTCCCTAAGCACCTTCTGTATACTGTATATCCTGTATAGCATTCTATATACCCGAATGGATGGCTGATTCGGATTCAGTAACCCCGACAATCTAAAAAATATGTGTTTTGGACAGATTGCACGGCTTCTCTTCATTTGACCTTACAATGAGTCTTCTTCAATTTATACCTCGCAGTACTATAACTCCTACCTTTCGGCGACTATATTTCGAAAAATATAATTTTCTCAGCTTACAATTAATGCCTATGACAACTTTTTATATAAGCTTCGAGAACTATTCAAATCCAAATTTTCAGAACTATCGGCTGGAAGCCATTTTCCATAAGGAACCTGCGGGGTCATTTAACGAATGGAGGGAAAAACGGAGAGTAATGACAATAAATGAAGAAGTCATGCTAGCGTATTTTTTAAATTTGCAATTTCATATATGTGGTCGAAGTATTCGATGGTGAAGGCTACTATAAAGGTCTAAAAAAATATAGATATTGGAAAATATAACAAGTTTACTGTTTATTTGAAGAGTGTATCGAGAGGATACAAAACAAAAAGAGTTGCACTATTGGAAAGAGCACATATTGAAGAATTTTTTACTGGAGCTTCCGATAAAGAATATTTAATGATTACATTACATGTTGTTAGGTATATAGTGAACTTTGAATTATTTTAAGTTGCACTAATAATGGGAGTGTCTGGTGCCTGTCGATGCTGCGAATTGACAAATTTGAAAATTAGTGACGTACAGGACGTTGGCAGTTACCTACTTGTCAATACCTGACACAAAGACGGGCATTTCAAGAAAATTTACAATTATAGAAAAAGGATTTTGCGTGAATGCTGTTGAAATATGCAGAAAACATATTCCTCTGTGCCCAATTCGCCTAACACAAGACAGATTTTTTTAAAGATATATCAATCAAAAATATACTTCTCGGCCTGTTGGAATCAACACATTGGCGAAGGTACCCTCAGTATTTGCTTCATTCCTGAACATCGCAAATCCACAATTCTATTGGCCAATAAAGGTGCTGATCTTACAGCCATCAAAATGGCATGGTGGATGGAGAAGCTCCCCTATAGCAGAAAGTTATGTTGAGGTGTCTATATCTAACAAACTTGATATTGCAAGGAAAATCCAAGGAAAATATAGCTGTTCCTTGCAAGAAGAGACATCCATAACTTATGCAAATTCTTCACAAACTTCGGCAGATGTTATGCGTTCCGAAAATGATGGCAACAATGCTACAAGGGTTGTTATTAACGGAAAGGAAGTTAATTAAATGTGATAAAACAAAAAACGAAATGTCTATTACTATAAATGTAAATGTTAGTGTTAATAAGTAAATAAATTATATTTGATTTATTATAGATTTATAATTTTTTTCATTATTCTATTAGTAAAAAGTTACTTTATTACATTTATTAGTGGATAAAGTATCACTTTAGACGGTTCATATGTGCGGATAAAAGTGCGATTATAAGGTGATTGTGGATAAAATAATAAATAATTCGCACTTAGAAGCAAAGAACTTCAGCCTCATGCAACTGGAGAAATTACATAAATAAAACGTGGCAGTCTACAGCGTCAGATATCTTATGGTCGCAGTTTATTGTAGCTGTGATTCAATCGACGTTCACAGGTTAAGGTACATAAAGTAATAAATGTAATGTAATAATTACAAATAATTTTACAAGCCCTTATAATGTTTTTTATATTGAACAAATTTCCATATCTTGTTCGAAAAAATTCTGCGTAAATTATGATTATGATAGTGGAATTGAAGAAATAAAATGTATTTGAGATAATAATATTATTTGCATTAGGTTGATAAACACTTTTTACGTAAAACATACAGGCCAACAGTTTTATAAAAAAATTATTTTCATTTAAATTTAAAACAGCTAATGGTAAAACAGTAGTTTTTAGTTTGATAATACCCATGTATTTTCAGCAATTTTGGGGATGCTTTTGTACATTTTAAAATGCCTTGTACGTAGATATACAATTACACGATTTACTTGCAATTTTTGAAGTTGGTCGTAATTTCATGTGAATTAGTTAACTTCTTAATTTTATGTTTTATTGAACTGATAGTAATATTGCCACAAACTTACCAAAAGTGCCTAGGATTACCAATAAATAAATAATTAAAATACATGCAATAAACACCACAGACGAGAATATTATGACAGTTCTATTTTTAAACATTTTTGCAATATAACGATACACTTAGATTCGGCAAAAGAATAAAATTCACTGACGAAATGTTATTGTCAAAAATTAGAATGTAAGCATATCAGGCCTATAATTGGTGACATTTTTGTTTGCAATTTACATTGACCCTTGATAAGAAATCACAGATACTCGATTATGTGTTTGTTTATGGATTTTCCCGTGTTTAGTGTCCAGAGAAGATAGTTCTTTCTATTAAACATGTTTATCATAAAATATAGGAGACATTTTCTTCGTCAGTGAGTTTTTTCTTTGAAGAAAGGAGTTGTTTTTCAGGTAGCTTCCCAGGAGAAAAAATCAGATCTTTGCTTCTGATTTTTCTGATCATGTCAAGGAATTGCCAAATCACGACAACAGATCGATTATTGGATAAGGTTTTTTATCAACATTTTCAGATTAATAATGTAAGGAACGTTATAAGTTGAATAAAAATAATAATTAGGCCAGGAAAATAAGCTGGGAAATTACCATTTCGCGACTTTTTGTTTCGGCAAGCTGAATTTATCACTATCGATGCTAAATATTATGTACAATAACATATTAGTTTCCATAGTCATAAAAATGGGGGGAGATTGTTTACAGGGTGGTTAATTGTATAATTTTTACGTAAATTCAAGTTTTTCGCTTATAACTTTTTCCGTTCATTTCCACGAGAAAACAGTAAGGTACTTTTTTTTCGTCTTCGAAAGACCTACAAAACTAGCCCTCGAGCGTCAAAAAATATTGGTTATATCAAAAGTTATAAAGAGAAGAAGTTAGTTTATGACTTTTGAAACCATTTATAAGCTGCGTTATTACCAGAACGTTTTGGCATTACCATTGTCTAATAACTCACACTAAATCTGGAATCGATAAATTGAATAGTTTACAAGTTATGGCCTTATAAACAAATTAACTAATAATTAGTTAATTATTGGTCTGGACGATCCCGAGGATCTTCCACAATCGCACTGATTTTTTTCATAGTAGATTTCATAATAATACATTGAAATCTATTATTTTCTTTTTTTTAATTTTAAATTTGCAACCTGGATTTTTTTTTATTTTTTAGCCTTAGTTGCAAAATACGACGCACGAGCGTGATATAGTTATTATTATTACATATTCGGAAAGTTTATGAAAAGAACTTTATGTTAAAAAAAATCGTCAAGATTCGTTGAAAAACAACGGAGTTACAGACTGTAAAATAAAATTTACCAACTTACCGATTCCAGATTTCGTGTGAGTTATTAGACAGTGGTAAGGAATGAGAGGATGTGATGCCAAAACGTTCTGATAATAATAATGCAGTTTATAAATGTTTAATTCAAAAGTCATAAATAAACTTCTTCTTTTGATCTAATCAATATTTTTTGACGCTCGAGGGCTAGTTTTGTAGGTCTTTTGAAGACGAAAAAAAGTACTTTACTGTCTTCTCGTGGAAA